TTGATTACAAAAATGTGTTTTTGGTCTTACCAAAATTTTTTTTAATCATTTTTAAAAATTAATTTTAAAATATAAAACTTTATGTTCTTTCAATTTTTTGTATTCGAAGTTGAACATAAAAAGGCAAGCTATACTACAATTGTTTTATAAATAAGCTTATTATAATACTTTTGCCATAAATACTTTGAAAAAACTTGTATTACATCAGGGAAAATGACATAGCAGTGTTTATTATTATATTAATTATGTTAAAATATATTTCTAAAGTGTTGTTATTTATAATAAAAAAAATTGATTGAACTATTAAATTCTAAAAATTTTATAATTTATTTCTATTGCCCAGTATACAATTTTTGCCTGTACAAATATGGTGTAGGTATGTCATTTTACCCAACAACATAGTAGGTACATTTAAAAAAAAAGTGAATTAAAATTATTTGTTTGTATTAAATGTACAATTAGACTTCAGAAATATGTGTATAATATAAGTACAAATATGTTGCTCAAGTTTCCTATTATAATTAACATTATTTCCTTTTTTTTAAATTAAAAAGTGGTACCGGTACGTCTTATTAAGCAAGTCTCCCCTACAGAGGCGGCTTGATCATGCATTTTGTGGTTCACTGAACCACCAAAAAGTTTGGGGTGGGTGTTATTTTAATAGGTAGGTTCTTGGTAATCAGTGTCCGGTATAGCCGTATATACGAGGTAATAAAAGGATGGTTATTTGATGGCTAATTCATTATTAGCAACAAGCCAACAAATAGATACAATCACATATATTAACAATCAACTTATGAAGTTATAAACAGCTTTAGTGCTTTACGACAAAAAGATAGTCACATAAACTATAAAGTATGAGACAATGTGACATTATTTTGTTATTCGAAAATCGCAATATAGTCACTTATACTGAATTCAACAACTGATGAGTCAAAGCTCAATTAATTTGTTTTTGTGTATAAGTGTGTATTGTAGACGGATTTGAGGTTTTTAGATTCTGAGTGAAACGATGAATGTATTGATTTTACAATGATGTGTGTTTTTTTATTTTTTTTGGGTCTGTGTACACGATAAGTAGTCGAAATAATGCTTCGATTTTCAACTTCAGTATCTTGTTCGATTCGAAAGTGATTATCGTTGGTGCATTGGGGAGGTCAAAATTTAAATTTCCCAGTAGTTTTCAAAAGCGCCGGGAAAAACAAAAGAAAAATTAAGGAAAAACGGAAATTTTTACCCAAAATCGAGTTTTCTTAAAATCAATATTATTTTTTGGTGTAACTTTTAAAAAAATGATAGTAGATACATGACATTTTCAGTGGTTGTTTATATTTGCATTTTCTATACATGATAACATTTTCAAAATATTTTGATTTATTTTGAACTGTTTAGGGACATTTTCAGTTTCCAATTTTATTAGTTTTATTTTTATGAATATCAATAAAAATTTATTTGTTGAGTAAAAATACTTGAAAATTTAATATAAGGCTCCTACTATATTGTTTCAAAGACAGATGAAAAATATTAAAAATCGTTAGTCACAGTTTTTTTTTTTAAGCATTTAAAGTTCAAAAAATGACAAAATATGGAAAAATCACGAAAATTTGCAAATTATTTTGAGTTAGAAATTCATAAAAATTTTTCTTTTTAAATCTAAGATATGAAAATGTAATACAAGATTCCTTATAAGATTTCCTACATTTATCAAAAAAAAAATTCTATAAGAAAGTCAAATTAAATTTATATGAGCGTTTGAAATTCAAATTTTTACAACATTGGATATTCACTCGATTTCTCATGTGGTGATTTCCTTATTTTGTTGTAATTCAAAAACGAATTACTGTAGATACATGAAAATTTCATTGAATGTTTATATTAGCATTTCCTATACACCATACAATTTTGAAAATATTTTGACTCTTTTTGAGCCGTTTACGGACATTTTCAGTTTTCAATTTTTTTAGTTTTTTTTTTCTATAAATATCAATAAAGTTTTATCTGTTTGGCCAAAAAGTGTAAATAATTAATACAAGGCTCCTGATATTTGTTACAATAGCAATTGAAAAATATTAAAAATACATAGGCGCAATTTTTTTTTATAAGCATTTAAAGATCAAATTTTGACAAAATTTATCAAAATCTCGAAAATTATCAATCATCGTAATTAATAAATTATAAAATGTTCAGATTTTATAGCTAAGGATTGAAAATTTAAAAAAAAAATTCTCATAAATAGTTCATTCTGTAAACAAAAAATCTAAAAAATATATGAGCACAGTTATTTTTTACAGACATTTTAAATTCATATTTGGACAAAATTACATATTAAAAAACCTAGAATAACTATTTTAGTTATTTTGTTGTGATTGTATAATATTATATTATTCGCGGGTACTTGAAACTTCTAAAGTGTACTATTATATATCTATGATAGTATCACGGTTTGTTGTTGATCTATAACGCTTATAAGTACCTAATGGATATTGTGATATGATTAATTTGGAATTTATTATAGGTACCTATTGTAGGTCAATTTTTTGTTTAATACCATAGATTATATATATAATATGTCTTATACCTAGACTGACATACCGTTTCCCCTCAGAATCGATTTTCTTATACAATGATATTGATATTATATCGTTGAATTCAAATTGAATATCATCCATTATACAGTGACCCACTTGTAACCTACTGTACAGCAGAGCGACACCCACTTGCCCACCTTTTTTAAATTGTATTTGCTTAGCCCCTTCAAAAAAAAAAAACTTGTTACATTGTCATTTGTCACTGAAAATACTATATAAATTATATTCATAGTGCTTGGTCGCTAACAATACATAGTTTAGTTATTGTGACACTAGTCAATACCTGACTAACAGATATAAGTCAACACGTCACTATTTTATATTTCTATTGCAGACTATATTTGAAATTTGAATTTATTCTATAATAGTTAAATAATTAATTGTAATTTAAATATATAGAAATTTGGTTTAATCAGAACCGAATGATCAAGCCTGGGCAAGATAATAATAATTTTTAACTGAGTGAAGTTAAGTTGATGGAAAACATTTTAAAAAGTTTAATGTTAACAGTTAACCTAATTTTTTTGTTGACTCAGTGAAATAAAAAGTTCTATGAACATTTTCTATTAATTTATTAACCTAAGTTAAGTTATTATTTTTTAGATTCTGAGTGGAACGATGAATGTATTGATTTTACAATGATGTACCTATGTTTATTTAAAATTTTTTTTTAATTTTTGTGTCTGTGTACACGATAAGTAGTCGAAATAATGCTCGGTTTCCAACTTCAGTAAATTTTTGGTGCATTATGGAGGTCAAAATTTAAAATTCCCAGTAATTTTCAAAAGCGCCGTGAAAAACGGGAATTTATACCCAAAATCGAGTTTTCTTAAATTCAATATTATTTTTTGGTGTAACTTTTAAAAAAATGTACTATGATACATGTAATTTTCACTGATTGTTTATACTTGCATTTTCTATATACCATACAATTTTCAAAATATTTTGAGTTTCCAATTTTATTTTTTTTTTTCTATAAATGTCATTTATAAGACTTTATTTGTTGAGTAAAAATACTTGAACATATAATACAAGGCTCCTACTTTATTATTACATTGAGATTTGAAAAATATTAAAAATCCTTAGTCACAGTTTTTTTTTTTATAAGCATTTAAAGTTCACATTTTGACAAAATATGGAGAAATCACGAAAATTATCAAATAATTTTAAGTTAGAAATTCATAAAAATGTTTCTTTAAAAATGTACTACAAAATGCCTCTTAAGTTTGAGTACTTTTATCAAAAAAAAAATGTCCATAAGAAAGTCAAACTTAAATTTTTATGAGCATTTGAAGTTCATATTTTTACAATATTAGATATTCACTCGATTTCTCATGTAGTGATTTTCTTATTTTGTTGTTATTCATAAACGAATAACTATAGATATATGAAAATTTTATGGAATGTTTATATTAGCATTTCCTATACACCATACAATTTTGAAAATATTTTGATTCTTTTTGAGCTGTTTAGGGACATTTTCAGTTTTCAATTATTTTAGTTTTTTTTTCTATAAATATCTATAAAGTTTTATCTGTTGGGCCAAAAAGTGTAAAAATTTAATACAAGGCTCCTGATATGTTGCTACAATGTCAGTTGAAAAATATCAAAAATACATAGGCACAATTTGTTTTTATAAGCATTATAGGTCGAATTTTGACAAAATATATCAAATTTAAAATTGATCAGTAACTTTTTCTATGAATAATTGTCTGTATTAAGTTGAAAAGTAAGCTAAATGATGTTAGGCCAGAGTAAATCCATAATAGCATCAATTTATATTTAAAAGAATACTAATTTATACCTAATCTATTTATGAATAGCAACAATCATATTATACAATTTAAATATTTCAATAATTTTTTTTAATAAATAATAGATACAAATTATACGAAAATATGATTCCGTCGTTGCGATTAAAATATAAAACAAAACTGTAACATGATTTGACATGTCCAAAGTGGAAAGCGAGTACGTCCGATGCCGCATCGGCCGTACTCGCTGGACAAGTTTGAACTTTGAAAACAGTTTTGTTTTTCATCGCATAGGCCTAACCAACATTGAAAAGACGTTATAAATATATTATTATGTATTTATAGTTATTATTTTTTAAGTATTTTATTCTAGTAAGTTGGTTTTCATGGATAAATTTTTGAAAATATTTTGCTAATATTTTGCTTATATTTTGGTAGATTGGAAAAAAAATGAATCCAAGCTAATGTGCCACTCTAGGCAGGTGCCTAGCTCGAATATACCGCCCCTGTCTTTCATACACTATGCTTAGTGCACAATGCCACAATCATCCCCCTATGGAGCCTGACGAGGAAAGGACTTTAATAAATAGATAGGTATATTATGTTTATATAATAATAGTTTATTCAGCGTCTAAAATCACTTACAACTAAGTCTACACTACTGACTTCCGCAATAAGTTTTTAGTTCAGATAAATAGCAAGGTCTATTACAGCATTCATCGATGATACTTCTTTTGAAAGAGCGAAGTAAACGTAAGGGCATAAATGACATTGCTTCTTTCTTAGGTAAGTATGGGTAGTCAACTGCATTGTAGTCTTCTAGGTCTTTGTAATTCCACACATCTGAATCTGTTAATAGAGTATCAAATTACTTATTATTTTAATAATGTTTAGATTTTTAATGGAGTAAATAAGTACACTTTTTTCTCTGTTACAGCTTAGTTACAAGTAGGTAATTGTTATAATCCAATTAAATGTATATTTAATTATAATTTTTTTTTATTATTTTAAGGTATTTTTTATTACAACTTGTAAACACTTTAAATTTGAAGTAACAACAACGACTTAAGTGAACTAATTTTTGAATTTAATTATGTACTCTTAGGTTAGTTTAAACTTTAAAGTGGTATTAATTATTAAGGTATAAATTATGAACCTACCGATTTGACTTCTTTTTTGTAAATTTGGTTCATTGTAGTTGCCTTTGCATAGAACTTTCATGATGTCCGCCAATTTAGAACCACAGTATTGTTGAGGTGAACGTTGAAATCTAACATTGGCTGTTACAATTTTCATCATTAATGCCAAGAGGAGTAAATTTAAATATAGACTTCTCTTCATTATATTCTGAAACAGGACACAAACAAAAAAATTTCTGTATAATATAACCCTCAGTTACAATTAAATACATTTTGTAAATATCAAACTAAAGTACTATTATTATTGCATTATGGCTTAACACTTCAAACAATAATTACATACCTTGAATGAATGTTTAGATAAGTGTGGTTACGGTTCGCAGAATTGTGGTGAACTGATGATTGTCAACCGTTGTTGGTCGCATTTATAGAGATTTCGTCCCTGTTTTAATTCAGGAGTTCTAAGAACCAATAACTGAAAATAATTAAAACACATCAAGTAACGTTAAGGTGATGATTGAACAAGGGTCAAGTTTATTAATATTTATAAAAGGGAAATTAATATAATTTTTGATTGACGTGCTGATGACATTGTTATTACATTTTGCCACTATCCAACTTCTAAACGTAAATAAATTACCATCAATGATATGTCAAAATGTCAGAAAATATCACACATCACGTCATGTCACATATTCACACGTCTCGTTGAGTTTTAGTAAAATAACCAATACATATTATATTTAAATTAGATTTAGTCAATATTCGATGACCATATCTATCGTGAGTGTTGTGTAACTGTGTGTGTAGTGACTGACCATAATGGTGTAAGTTCCCCGAACAATGTATGTAATTATAAACACGAACTACGGCTAAAATTCTTGGAAATGCGTAACGTACAAATGTCAAACGTCACTATATTTTGCGATCAAAAAAGTTTAAAATCCCAGGTGGCCATGAAAGTCAAAAAAGTGGAATAAAAATTCCCCAGAACCAAAAGCACGATTTTAATTTGAAAACATATTTGAATTCCTTATTCTCTTTAGGTTACTTATATACGTATATATTAGTATATTATTAGTATTTTTCTCTCTTTTTTTTTTTCAAAATTTACTCTTACTTTAGTGTTACTAAATTAATTTACAAAAAGTCTGTTTTCGTAAGGTTTGTTTTGGGGAGCACTATTCTACACGCCAAACCATTGATCGTAGTTTTCCGCATTTCATTGGTAGGCAATATCAATGGGATAATATTATAGAAGAGGAGAACTACTTGATTGACGTGGAAAGGGTGGTATGCGTATCACAAAGTTGTGATCATACAATATTCATACCTATTTATTTAGTCATGAATCTAACGTTGTTTTGTAGGATTGATAAAGACTATCAACGCACAAAACTATAGTACATACAACGGACTAAGATATATCTTGGTCCGTGGTACATACAATAGACTTATAGAAAAGTAATTGAATGAGTACATGAATACTCCGAATAAGTTAATATGTCTGTGAAGTTAGCTCCCGGACGTTTAGCGCTCATCAATTCTGATAAGGTAGGTAACCGTATTCCTGCATACTATATTGCCTATTCTTGTCTTACAAGGAGTTTTAATAAAAATCTTTATATTATTTCAGATATAATTCAAGATGGATGAATAATAATGATTATAATATTATTAAATATTAATAAATTAGATTAATGCAATTAAAACAAATTTAATAAATATAAAATATAAAAATGATGTGTGTTTTTTTATTTTTTATTTTTTTTTTTAATTTCTAATTTTTTTTTGTGTCTGTGTACACGATAAGTAGTCCAAATAATGCTTTGATTTTCGTCTCGGTATAACTAACTTCGTATCTTGTTCGATTGGAAAGTGAATATCGTCGGTGCATTGGGGAGGTCAAAATTTAAAATTCAAAGTACTTTTCAAAGCGCCAAGAAAAACAAAAGAAAAATTAAGGAAAAACGGGAATTTTTCCGCAAAATCGATTTTTCAGAAAATTGAATTTGGTTTTTGGTGTAACTTTAAAACAAATGACCATGTAGATACATGCAATTTTCACTGGTTGTTTATATTTGCATAACATTTTCAAAATATTTTGATTTATATTGAACTGTTTAGGGACTTTTTCATTTTTAAATTTTTTTAGTTTTTTTTTTCTATGAATATCAATAAAGTTTTATCTGTTGGGCCAAAAAGTGTAAAAACTTAATACAAGGCTCCTGATATATTGTTACAATATCAGTTGAAAAATACTAAAAATACATAATATGCACAATTTTTTTTTTATAAGCATTTAAACATCGAATTTCGACAGAATTTTTCAAAATCTCGAAAATTATTAATCATCGTAATTAATAAATTATAAAATGTTCAGTTTTTATAGCTAAGGATTGAAAATTTAAAACAAGATTCCACGTAAGTAGTTAATTCTCTTATCGAAAAATCTAAAAAAATATACAATCACAGTTTATTTTTATAGTCATTTTATGCTCAAATTTGGACGAAATTACATATTAAAAAACCTAGTTATTTTGTTGTGATTATATAATATTATTCGTGGGTACCTACTTGAAACTTCTAAAGTGTACTATTATATATCTATGGTAGTATCAGGGTTTGTTATTGATGTTGATGTATAACGTGTTATAAGTACCTAATGGATATTGTGATATGATTAATTTGGAATTTATTATAGGTACCTATTGTAGGTCAATTTTTTGTTTAATATCATAGATATGTATATAATATGTCTTATACCTAGACTGACATACCGTCTCCGCTCAGAATCGGTTTTCTTATACAATGATATTACATCGTTGAATTCAAATTTAATATCATACATTATACAGTGACCCACTTGTAACCTACTGTACAGCAGAGTGACATCCACTTACCCACCTTTTTTATTTTATTTCTTTTTTTTTTGTGTCTGTGTACACGATTAGTAGTCGAAATAATGCTTCGATTTTCAACTTCAGTAACTTGTTCGATGGAAAAGTGAATCTAGTTGGTACTTTTAGGAGGTCAAAATTTAAAATTCCCAATAGTTTTCACAAGCGACAAGATTAACAAAAGAAAAATTAAGGAAAAACGGGAATTTTTTCGCAAAATCGATTTTTCACAAAATTGAATTTGGTTTTTGTTGTAATATTCAAAAATGAATAACTGTAGATACATGAAAATTTCACTGAATGTTTATATTAGCATTTCCTATACACCATACAATTTTGACTCTTTTTGAGCTGTTAACGGACATTTTCATTTTTAAATTTTTTTATTTTTTTTTTCTATGAATATCAATAAAGTTTTATCTGTTGCGCCAAAAAGTGTAAAAATTTAATACAAGGCTCCTGATATATTGTTACAATATTAGCTGAAAAATATTAAAAATACATATGCACAGTTTTTTTTTTAAGCATTTAAAGATCGAATTTTGACAAAATTTATCAAAATCTCGAAAATTATCAATCATTGTAATTAATATATTATAAAATGTTCAGTTTTTCTAGCAAAGGATTGCAGGTTTAAAACAAAGGTTCTCATAAATAGTTCATACTGTAACCAACAAATTTAAAAAATATATGAACACAGTTATTATCAAATTTGGACGAAATTATATATTAAAAAACCTAGAATAACTATTTTAGTTATTTTGTTGTGATTGAAAAATATTATTCTTGGGTACTTGAAACTTCTAAAGTGTACTATTATATATCTATGATAGTATCATGGTTTTTGTTGATGTATAACGCGTTATAAGTACCTAATGGATATTGTGATATGATTAATTTGGAATTTATTATAGGTACCTATTTATAGGTCAAATTTTGGTTTAGTACCATAGATATGTATATAATATGTCTTATACCTAGACTGACATACCGTCTCCGCTCAGAGTCGTTTTTCTTATACAACGATATTATATCGTTGAATTAAAATTTAATATCATCCATTATACAGTGATCCACATGTAACCTACTGTACAGCAGAGCGACACTCACTTTTTTTAGTTTGAAAAAATCGTATTTTTTCTAAAAAATATTATTCGTAATAGCAATATTAGGATATTTTTTTCAAATTAAAAAAACCTCAAATTCGTTCACATTTAAAAAAAAATATTTCTTCAACTCGTTATAAATTATGCTTTTTGGTGTTAAGTAAAAAAGCTTATTGCCAAAAATTACCAGTTTAAAATTAAAGAAAATGTTGATATTTATGATATTAAACAAGTGTAGTTATAGGTACTGAAGAGTGAAGATGTGTACCCAAATGTATATAAATTGCTCTAAGTAGCTTTCACTATAGCCCTGTTAGTTGCGCAACCGGCAAACGTTCCTTATCTTCAATGCGGCGTTCAAAAGCTTGTCAGAGAACAACAATGAGACAAGAACGATTTTCAAATTTATTAATATTATTGAATATCGAAAGAGATGTAACTAATAGTATTGACACAAAAACAATTATTGATACATTTCAGCAACTAATAAAAAATTTGTATTGATTTTATATTATGTTATGTGTAGGTACCTAAATTTTGTAGTTGAGTAAAAGTTGATATAAAAATGCGTCGAGGTATAAAATTATTTATAACTTCAATTAAAATTTTTAATTCACTACCTAGTCTTATAAGAATTTATTCGTGTAATAGCCAGCCCTTATATTAGTTGGGCCCTAACCGTTAGGGGGTCTGTGCTGCAGATAAAATTCTAGCAAAACATTGACCATAGTTGCGCCGATGTACAGCGCTTCAGATAAACTAATTTTGTTTTATATCTATATGTTTGTAATGTCGACTCGTTCACTTGGTTATTTATAATTGGGTACTTAATTTATCATATCTTCACAATTATTAAGCATGTTTTAAAATGAATAATAATTGTCAAAAAAGTTATAAAAATTAGGTAAGTTCTTGTACCTGATATGACTTTTTGGTAAGTGGTCGGGTGGTATTAACTATACTGTTGAACCACCAACTGAAAAATATCAAACCACCTCTGCTCCCCTACAAAGTCTCCACTAACTAAAAAAGTACACGGTAGAGACTATATATGGGAGGTGGATCAAATTAGTAGGTACCGACGCAGGTGCTGTTGTTGTAATTTCATACTTGGATTTCAAACTTGATTATTTGGCAATGTGTATTTTGGTAATCGTCATACATCTAGATTCTCGTATAACTATTGAACAAAGGTGGGCATTAACTTGTTAAAAAGTATACTGATTTTTCAAGTTTTTTACGATTTTGGTAATTTATTTTCGAATTATATATTATAATAATCTCATTTTTTACACAGTGTTGAATATCTTGGTAAATACTAAACGTCTATGTATAACAAAATATTGTGATGGTTTATGATTTAAAAATATCGTACATTCAAAAAAATAAACTTTTTTTTTAACTGAGATAAGTTAATTTTATTTTCTATCTTAACTTTATACTTATCTATAGTAAAATTTTTTTTCTTTATTAACTTTTAACTCAACTGAAGGCAATTTAATTGAATTATCTTAACTTTCCACAGTTAATTATTTTCATTAATTTGCCCACCATATTGCTATTGAATGTAGAAACGTGATGGAAACAACAGGTGCTAGATGTTGTTCACTGCTTAAATGTACATGTACATTTGTAAGCTATGTCAGTAATCTAGTATACGCAGTATATCTATTGTAATGCAGTAATATATGCAATCATATTTATTACAATGTAGTAAACGGTTGCTTGGCTTACTACAATAATTATGCGAGGAGTTTGTTGGAGCGGGTTTGCACATATCGATCTCGTCGCTAATATATCGGCAACAAAATAATACGCTCATCGATGAGTAAAATCTTAGTTCATATACTATGGATCCATAGTATATAAACTAAGATTTTACCGAACCTTGATGATCTTTCGGAGCACAGCAGCCAGCAGTTTGCTGTTTGGTTTTGTTTTTGCTCAATAATTTTATGATAATAGATTAAATTCTGTTATCGTGATGTATTACAAATTACGATGGAATATCGCATAGGGCAAATGGCAATGAATGAAAATATGAAATATACATTTTGATTAATCAATTCAGTTTTTTTTTTGATAGTTAATCTTTATAAAATATTATACTTTTCAGTTTTCTTGAAAAAATAATTCTTACAACTCCAATATGCCTTTTCGATAATATTTTTCAAATTGATTTACAAAATACCAAGGGGGGGATTTCAGTGTCTGGTTGTGCAGGGAATACGCGTCATATGCGCGCTCAGCACTTTTGGGGATTTCCACTTTACCACTCGGAACTTTAGGGACTTAAACTTTACATATTATACTTAAATATACTTATTACTTATATATTTTATTAATTATATTAAATATAAATGCATAATATACGTAAAGTGTAGTCGATCCTGGATGAAGACATTTTGAGGCCAAGGGGCCAAAGTTTTAAATGATATATATTATATATATATATACGAAGAAAAATATTATTATAATATATATATTATTTAATATTAGGTACCTGTAATAATTAATATATATATATATATATATATATTAGAGGTCAGCACGGGCTGATAATTTACAGCCCGGCCCAGCTCGGTAAATTTTTTTGACAACCCGACCCGGCCCGGGTATAGTTTGTTGTGAGTAAGCCCGGCCCGCAAATAGTTTTTGGCGAGTAAGCCCGGCCCGCAAATATTTTTAGAGAGCCCGGCCCGATCCGGCCCTGTTCTTCGCAATGCCAATCTAAAAATTGTACGGATCAAGCAAGGCACGGTCAAGCCCATTTTCGTCCAGCATGGCCCTGGTAAAATATTTTGTAGTTTTTAAGTAGATATACTAGATACTAGATAGTAGATAGTAGATACCTCTTATTATCTTTTAAAAGATTATTATTTTATAAATGTTGCATATAAAGTCTTTTATATGTACTTACACATAAAATGATAAATATTTAGTGGATAGTAGATACCCGGTAACTGTTTTAATTTACATAACTTTCAAAAGTCGCATTCAAGAAATCCTGATTGCACCAACACGTTGAGCATAAAAATACCTACAAATATCACACAATATACTATCGTCTACTTCACTTGTCCATAATTTATATTCGATAGTACAACATATTTTTTTTTGTTTATAATTTTGGTCCTGTTAGAATTTCTAATTTTTCATAGAAGCCCGGCCCGGCCCGGCTAGTAACTTTAGTCCTAATAGAGGTCCGGCCCAGCCCGTCATGCGTTTTATACAATCCGGGCCGGCCCTAAGCCCATCCGGGCAGGGCCAATTTCGGGTCGGTCTGGGTAAGCCCGGCCCGTGCAGGTCTTTAAATTATATTTATATATGTATATATATGTAAATGTAAGTATACGTATTAAGTACACAGGCATTAAATAATGAATAATGTAGCGAGCTGTGACTATTTCTTAAATAACAATATAAATATAAATCTCATTCTAATATTATGTACGTAATCATATTATAATAGACGCGCCGCGTAAATATAATAGAGTAGTAATACGCGAGCGTTGCTCGCGTAAACATCAATAATAGTATAGTAATAATAATAATATCGCTGACACCATGTAGGTATACAGTACGTGTGTAGTGGAGCGACAGCATCATATATACAGCCCGAAGATAATAATATGGTGATATATAATGTGGTATAGACCGCATACTATATTCGTAAATCGCCGGTAGACCGCATACTATACTCGTAAATTCACCGGTAGACCGCATACTATATGACAGCCGTTAGGTTTATTTATGTTATTTTGTAATTTATTTTATTCCCTACTTTCCCGTAAAATATTTTCTTGCGTAGGTACCTAATAATTTCCGGACTATTACCTAAGTACCTACTTGATATTTTTCCGACTTTTTTTATTCCCGTTGAATACTTTCCCGATCTATTCATTCCTACGTAATAATATATCGTTCGTGTGTAATTTTTATCGTGTAAATGTGTAATGCACTAATGCCACTAATGCTTTAGATGATTAGATCGTAGAATGGTACGGCGTCCGTGGAGGTAGAACGAACAGAATTCCTACTGTTGGGGACTATAAGGAAATCTGTGACTATGTACCGATGGAACGAACAAATGTACCTACTCTTAACGGGCCTGTATTATTTGTTCCACAAAATAATTGTTCCAATTACTATTTGTTCCACAAACTACTTGTTCCAAATGTGGAGCAAATAGTTTTTGGAACAAATAGTAATTGGAACAAATATTTCGTGGAACAAATAATTATTGGAACAAATATGTTGCGGATCAAATAGTAATTGGAACAAATTATTTGTGGATCTTAATAATATTTTTTTTGGAACAAAAATTATTTTTTTTTAAGTACTATTTGTTCCACAAAACAATTTTCCACAAAACAATTTTCTTAACCCTGTGACCCACTTGGGGAGGTGTTGCACAGCAAGTCGGGGGATATTTTCGATTTGCGGAGCGGAGCGACGGCGCCGAGGAGCGTAGCGACGAGTGCCGCTAGCACCGCATCACTGTACGATGTTTTTTTCAAATTGGTGGCTCGGTGCAACAAAAATGCAATTTTCTCAACCCTGTGACCCACTTGGGGAGGTGTTGCACAGCAAGTCGGGGGATATTTTCGATTTGCGGAGCGGTTAGGAACACTTGGAACAAACGTTTTTTGGAACAAATAGTAATTGGGACAAATATTTTGCGGAACAAATAGTCATCGGAATAATGTTTTGCGGAATAAATAGTAATCGGAACAAGTGTATTGTGGAACAAATAGTAAAACTAGGATGAAATAGTAGTTGGAACAAATATAGTGTGGAACAAATATTTTGTGGAACAATTAGTAGTGATCCACTCTTAACTGATTTAAAATCCAAGACCGTGATTACAGGAGTTGCGCTTATCACTAGTCGGTTGTCTTTTGTTTACGTCGTAATTTAGGTTATTGAGAAATTGTTTTTTTTTTTGCCGTGCGTGTTTGTCCGGCTAAATAATAAATCGGCGCTTTTCAGACATTCATTTTTAATAATACAAATAATATCTCATCAAATTCGTGACCGTGAAATCAAAAAGTTAAGTTTTTCTTGGTTTCATCCATGTGCTTTGTACAGTACTCGGCGAGATTGCAGTAGACATTATTATGTATGTATTATACTTTAAGCATAATATACCTTTAAAAAATACGACACGCAATGGCAATGCCTAACCACCCAACTGTTCTATAGATGACTGCCACGAGAAAACTTACACCTCAAAACACAATCATCGGTCTACGGGATACCGGAATACAGGTGTCGTATACATTCCAAGACTGAGTGATCGAGGCAACCCGCGTCCATTGATCGAGTTATCTTTTCTAAGTTCCAACTGCCCACAATACAGATAACTGTCTACTGATTAGGCTAACTTCAATACCCGACTTGTGGCAGTTATTGGTCTCGTTTTAAAAATGCACAAGTGTATAGTGTGCGGTAATAGATCTAATAACACCAGTCACCAATGTCAATCGTCAAGGAGTTATTTATCATGGGTGAGTATCAATATGTACTAGAAATTTAATCGCTCAAACTGTTGTGAAAAAAACGCACATGGATTTTTGAATCATATTATTGACATGGTTCATTATCCTGGTGCGGGATACTGTGAAATAATTTTCAACCTGTTTAGCTTAGTAATTTATATTTTGTGTTCCCAACCTAACATTAGCAATTTATGGTATTGATTGATATTTGTTTTAATATAGAATTCCCATGAATGCATACATGAGAAGGAAATGGCTTCAAGTTTTTGGAATTGATCTTTGTCATGATTCGCCACGTATATGAAGTGATCATTTTTAGAAAAAAACTATAAGCCATCAAAAAAGCCATTTTTATTTTCAAATGCTGTTCCCCAACCTTATGAACGAAATGGTTTTCCTTCTAAGTAATACTTCTGGATCTCTATAATTTTAATTTTAATATTCAACAGTTTTTTATTTTTATATAGTTATGCTAGTCAAATGAATGATGTCGAAACTGGAAATAAAGTAACTTTACCATTGGAACAAAATATTATAAAGTGAGTTAATGAAAATAGTATTAGACTAGATTTTTTTTTAATTGAAAATTTAAAAATTTGGCTTATTATGATAAAAGTGATTGCATAGAATCTGAATTTTACAGAGAGAAACATATTGGAAATGCTGTTGTAAATAATTTTAAATCACCAAGACGGTCATCTGGACTTACTAGAAACAAAGAGGATATGAGTAATAAAAATATGCTGGTCAGTAATAAGTATTAATATTTTTAATAAGTATTGTCAATACAGTCTGATATCTTTATCTTTTTTATGATTTTCCATGCTTTCCTTATTGGTAGGGCCTTGGTCTTCAACGTCCTGGATTCTCTTTTTTAGTAATTTAATGCTTCTAATAAGACATCAGTATTATTCTTGTCCATTTATATTTATAAAATAGTTATCTGTGTTCTTATGGTGTTCTTTTTTTTACGATTATGTGGTATTTAAGTGAGTTTTTTATTTTTGTTATATTATGTACACATAATTTGTTAAAAAATTGATCTATTGTAATCTATGGTAAGAACATTATCAGTGTTCGTATGTTGGTTACACAGATAACAAATATCCGTGTGGCATCCTTTTAATTGATTCATATTTTTCTTAAAGATTAAAACTACCTACAAAATACAGATATTATAAAGAATAATATAAATAGTAGCGTTCCATAATTTTAAATTAAACATTCAGAAAACAAATGATTTTTTGAGTGCATATTTGAAAATTTTAATGCATAATGTATATTAATATATTTATGCATTTTTAAGATTTTTTTAGCGCCTTTATAGTTGGTTATTAATGCATACAAATCCGTGCTCCAGTTATAAGTATTTCTAACTCTGACAAATGAATGTGGAAACACCCCATATAATATTATGCTTATGTAATTCAAAATGTATGTTTTAGGTTAAAAAAACCTAAAATGGCTTATGGTATAATATATATATGTTAAAAAATATTGTTTTGTAACAAGTTAATATTATGTAAATAAATTTATTTCAAAAACATTTATTTTCTGAAATAACGAGTGTTATAAGTTATATGGAAAATCCTATATATTAGTTACTTATTAAAATAGCTTATATTTTAGTTATATTTTATTTTATAGATTGCTGAAAAGAGAGAACTTGTATTACAACTAAGAAAAACCATGGCAGAAACTAAAAGAAATCGTCAACACAGACCCCAGACTCAGAACCATCCGGAATTTAATAATTATTTTTTTTTATTATAATTTATATTCATAATTTATTACTATTATTTTTTAATTTAAATATTTATTCATATATGAATTATTCTGGACATTGCAGAGTTTTGGCCCCCTGCATAATTTTTATTCTTATTTATTATTACCATATTTTTTATATATTTTGATTTTGATCGCTTGAATTGTTCTGTATAATCATAAATGTATAATTTTTTTTATAATCACAAATGTATAATTTTTATTAAATGTATAATGTATTATTAATCGTACATTTTTATAAAAATTATTGGTTAACGAAAATACAAAATTTAAGTGGCGGGTGTTAACTAAACTTGAGCTGCGGGAGAGTTGCCTTCCTGGCAGGGGTCAACAAGACCAGTACCAAAAAATACATAAATAAAGAAATATGGTTCGAAAATCAAATCGACTAAATTTTTCAAAAATATGTAACATAAAATTACAGATTTGGATTAGTTGTAACATAAAATAAATTTCAAATTTGTATCTTGTTGACATTTTTTTTTCTTTTAAACATACTAAACAATATTATGTAAAATATCGTATGAATATATTTTTATTTATTTATTAATTCTAACATATTATACATTCTATCGTACATTTTAGATGAGTGGGGTACAACAGTTTTTATTTTATGTCAAAAATAGTAGAATTTGAGTTACCTATAATAAAAAAAAAGGAAGCCACACGGTATCTAAAAGTAAAATATTTATACAAATTTATTATCGGTCTAATATTTGTTATTATTAATTATAAATCAAAAATTTTCAGAATTTATAAAAAATAAAACGTTTGATTTTGTGAATATTTTATTTTTATGGGCCCAATGTATGAGTAATAATATAACAAATGTGTGTAAAAATACCATTTAGTAAATAAATTATTAGTACCCACATTGTTTATCCAATAATATAAATCTAAAAAAAACTGATTTCCTGTAAAGTATAAAATTTTTAATAGGTATTACTAACGCTGGGCAAGTTAATGATTTTTTTTTAAGTTAAGTTAATAAGTTAAAAGTCAATTTAATGATAGGTTAACTCAGTTGAGTTATACGTTAATACACACTTTTTGTTAACTTTTTATTAAATAAAAAATAGTTAATTTGTTTATACAAGGCTAGCATACTTAATTAATTTCCAACATAAAACTAAATTAGAGACTATAATATTTATACTGTATACAGTATTTCCATATAAGTTAGATTTGAATAAATATGAATATACATTTTTAACTTTAAACAATTCACTGTAAATATTTTTTGACATGACAACGAAATAGACTGAAATAGTGAAATATAATAAAATTATAAATAAAATAACATAACTTACTTTTTAAAATGAAAAATTAATTTGTTAGGTAATTTCACGTTAATTAAAAAAGAAATGTAGTAAGTTAACAGTGAGGTTAATTAAAAGCCAAAAGTAACTATATAAGTTCAAAAGTAAAAAGAAAATAAACTTTATAACTTAACTTAACCTCTCGAAAATAGTCAAAATGTTTTCAAAATCTAATTTATTGTATATACATACATACCATTGTAATAATCTTGGTGCTTGGTACCTACTATCGTAGTACTAATAGTAGATAAGTGGCTACCAAGTTATTATAGATGCAGGTCGCAGACACTTTATTTGATGATGTTGTAGTCGTGGATGATAATAATAATAAGACAGTTGAAGTATGATATAATATTGTGAGATTTTATTAAAACGTTCGATAATATTCTAAGTCCAAATAATATTGTACACAGTGGCGTGAAGGTGCTTGCACTAATGGGTGGTAGTACACGTCTGAAATAGGCCGATTCGGGCTCCCTTATATATGAGGTTCCCCGTACCCCTTGCCTACATATACGATATCTCCGTTCTCACGGATGTCACTCGTATAGTCATCATTCTAGCCCACGCATTGACGATTGAATATTTATCTGATTGAATGTATTACTAACTTGTGATTAGTCATTTTACTCTTCAATATTTTAAATTCATCGTGTGCGTCCAGTATTTCTGTCAAAAATGACGACCGCCTATTTTAACCCTCTCATCATGAGTTATTCAGTGAGCCTGTCTCCATAGGTTTGAAGGACCCATTTCCTTCTTAATGCCCGACTAGCCGGTCTACCGTCTATTATAATATTTATGCACCTGTGGAATCTGGTTTTATTGTTACTGTCAAATGTTACTACGCCTAATTCTGAATCCCGATTCATCGTATATTATAATAATAACTATGTACTTATGAAATTGGTATTACTCCGTAGTAGCTGGCTTACTACACCATAATATTGAAATTTGAATTATTGAATAAAGCTCAGTGAACTTTTCAATTGCAACTCATTGTCTCAATAATTATAATATTGTTCTTTGGTAAAAGTAATAGAAAAGTAAAATATGCAAATTGTTGTCTCAAAACGTATTAATTTAAATTTATCACAATATCAAACAATTAAAAAATGTTAGAGTGCAGGTAAATTACAAATAAATTACAATTTTTATTATAAACAATTAAAAATAAATACATAATATATAAATATATTATAAACATAATTGAACAACATTTTAATACAAAAGTCTTTCTTTCTAATTTAAATATTAATACTTATTACTGACCAGCATATTTTTATTACTCATATCCTCATTGTTTCTAGTAAGTCCAGATGACCGTCTTGGTGATTTAAAATTATTTACAACTGCATTTCCAATATTTTCGTCTCTGTAAAATTTAGATTCTATGCAATCACTTTTATCATAATAAGCCAAATTTTTAGATTTTCAAATAAATTACTAAGCTAAACAGGTTGAAAATTATTTCACAGTATCCCGCACCAGGATAATGAACCATGTCAATAATATGATTCAAAAATCCATGTGCGTTTTTTTCACAACAGTTTGAGCAATTAAATTTCTAGAACATATTGATACTCACCCATGATAAATAACTCCTTGACGATTGATATTGTGTGAAATCCCGCACACTATACACTTGTGCATTTTTAAAACGAGACCAATAACTGCCACAAGTCGGGTATTGAAGTTAGCCTAATCAGTAGACAGTTATATGTATTGTGCGCAGTTGGAACTTAGAAAAGATAACTCGTTCAATGGACGTGGGTTGCCTGTCAGTCTTGGAATGTATACGACACCTGTATTCCGGTATCCCATAGACCGATGATTGTGTTTTGAGGTGTAAGTTTTCTCGTGGCAGTCATCTATAGAACAGTTGGGTAGTTAGGCATTGCGTGTCGTATTTTTTAAAGGTATATTATGCTTAAAGTATAATACATACATAATAATGTCTACTGCAATCTTGCCGAGTACTGTACAAAGCACATGGATGAAACCAAGAAAAACTTAACTTTTTGATTTCACGGTCACGAATTTGATGAGATATTATTTGTATTATTAAAAATGAATGTCTGAAAAGTGCCGATTTATTATTTAGCCAGACAAACACGCACGGCAAAAAAATAACAATATTCTCAATAACCTAAATTGCGACGTAAACAAAAGGCACAGATTATATGAAAACAGATTGTGCACTTCCTATGCTGCAATGTAAAAAATGAACAAGTTGCTCTGATTGGTTGGCTTCCAAATCAGTGTAACCACAAATACCAATGCTAATTTATTGTATGTACCTACATACATACCATAATATTGAAATTTGAACTATTGAATAAAGCTCAGTGAACTTTTCAATTGCAACTCATTGTCTCAATACTGGTAATATTGTTCTTTGGTAAAAGTAATAGAAAAGTAAAATATGCAAATTGTTGTCTCAAAACGTATTAATTTAAATTTATCACAATATCAAACAATATAAAAAATTAAAGAATTAAAAAATGTTAGAGTGCAGGTAAATTACAAATAAATTACAATTTTTATTATTAACAATTAAAAATAAATACATATTATAAGTTATAAACATAATTAAGAACAACATTTTAATACAAAAGTCTTTCTTTCTAATTTATTTATAAATGATTTAATATACACAATTTTCTATTTTTTTTGTGTTTTTCTGATATTAAATTCCTATTTAAAAATTGAATAGCAGCATGAATCCTAAATCTTATAAAATAATTAATTAAATACTCTTTATTAAATAGTGGACACGGATGTCAAAATACAACATTAGTCATACTTAACTTTAACTTAATACCTACTTCATTTTCAATAGATAATTGTGGAAACCTATTTATAAAAATGTTTTCTAACTCATCTATATAATCATAAAATTCATGTTGTGGCATCATTAAATTGCCAAACATTGATTTTTCTGAATTTTCATATGCTTTGAAATAACAAAGTCATCCAATTTTGTTTGTGATTTTGCATAATGAATATAAACTTCGCAACTATGTGTTTCAATACATTTTTTCATCAAAAACCCACAAACATACATAAAAGCATTTTTCTCAGGCATTGATAAATTCCTATAATCTGGGGTATCTATTTTAAGTGTATTTTTAAATTTAAATGGATTTTTATCTTGAAATATTATTTTTAAGGTTTCGTCATTAAAAGGATCAGTACTTATTTTAGATAAAATTAAGCCGAGTAGTCATATACTTACTTCCACTTAAAGTAGGTTAGAACATTTCATAGAAAGTGAAAAGATAAATATATAATTAAAATATTAAACAGCAACATGACTTTAATTGGCCTATGGTTTTTTTTTTACACCTAATAACAGATTAATTATTAGTAGGTACTATAAAATATGATGCCTATTTTTCATTACCATTATATCTCAATATTGAACTTAATATTTATGGTCTAACATACTGGATAGGTTTGTGGCTCCACACATCACAAGGTAGTATTGAGCAGGTATTAATTGTTTAACACAGTGTATAAAAAGATTTCACTACAAACGAACTAACATAGTTGGAGGTACATGCCCCATCGCGTTCCACATTCAGAAATAATTAGTTTCTTTGGATTACTATAAAAAATGTAGGTAATACCAGATTCCTTATAAGTTAGTCTACTTTTATCAAGAAA